TTTATTTTTCTATTTGATATAGGCTAAATCGAATCCAAACTCCATATTTTACCCATCATATTGTCATTTTATTTGACTGCTTAACAGCTCAGTTTTTATCAGCAAGATAGAAAAATCGAGCACGTTTCTAAAAAGATGGGTCGGAACAAACATTGCAACTTGTATGCTTCCTGAGTTACTCTTATTCTCATCATGTTAGCATGGTGTTTCTTGCCATCGTGCCTTATCATGTTCGCATCGAGATATCGCCACGAGGCGTCCAAAATCACCCCTCCTGGCTCGGAGACCACAGCAAGGAAAATCAAAGCCAGGCCACACGTGCTCATGAGCAGAGAGAGACAGGCTCAAAACATGATGCCACACCAATAAAACCTATGGTTTAGGTTGTGCGCCTCAGCTGAGGCCAAATGATCTTTACAAAATCAGCAAACAGACTCAAGTTGTCTGAAATGGAGATCAGCCAGAGAAAGGAATCTTGTACAGCTAGTCGTCCTGGCTGTCATGCCCCCTCAACCCCCCTCAATCACTGGACTGAGTCTCTCGTTCTTAGCCATATCCTTTTTTTCTTTGCTATATAAACCAAACCAACACTCCCAAACTTTTCAAACACATTCATACAAACTCACACAGCTCAAGCAAAACCAAAAGCCAATTCCAATTCGAAGAAAACCCATCAAATCTTTGCCTCAAGATCACTCAGACACCAGCACCATGAACAGCAAGGTCAGTGATGTTGCTGCATCATCAGCAATATTGGGCAATAGGGGCTGCTTCATCGGAGGCAGGCCTCTTCCCAAAAGAGGGCAGATCAAGTGCCGAATCGCTGCGACGGCTTTCCATTCCATTGCCACCATGATCGCCAGGGCTTCTTCTTCTTCACATCGCCAGCATTCTTCTAGATGCAAGAAAGAACGCCTTAGAGAATCTTGAAAAAACATTTGTCCAGGAAATGTATAAATAATGTTGATATATGTTTAGCGCCCTAGTTTGTAATCTCATCGTGAAATTATTGAAAAGTTTTGTCAGATTCTTCTACTGTCATGCAATTATTCTGGTTACATCTGTTTCTAGTTTGATCAGAGATGGACCTTTTCTTGAGCAGAATCTTGTCCCGTGCTCAAGAAAATGGAAGGCATTTCAGGACTAGGACAAACAGAGGAAACGTCACAATACTATGCATATAGTCCACAGGCCACAGGCACATACATGATACTATGCATATTGTCATTGAGAGAGAGAGAGAGAGAGAGAGCAAGAGAAAAGCTTAAAAGAAAATGAAAGCATCATCTGCAACTGAATCTGATGCAGTGTAGAATCTAATCATATACTCATTTGGAGAACCAGCCACTGTCATTTGCGACGATAGAGTACTGAAAATTTTTTTCTAGGCGAAAGACAGACGACTCTCTCTTCACTATCACCAATCTCTCCTGTGTGTCAAGAAAGTATCTTCTACAAGAACTCAATTCTGTGTCATTGCACGAACTCACAACCACCGCTCTGATCCTCATACTCAATCTTCTTGCCAGAATTGCAAAAATGGCAAAAAGTTGGCGGAATGACAGAAATCCATAAGTTCAGATATACCACGTTATACAAAGTCACGGTTTGAGGAATTTCAGTGTTTTACAAATCCAGACGTATGCGTTTGCTCTTGAGGGCATAGATCGGGCCCAAAATCCATTTTGGGCTTTTAGTAGTCAATGTTACATCTTTCCTGGACTCCAACATCATCCTCAGATATGCATAATTTGGGCATCTTCATCAGAAAATTTACCTATTTCTCCAAGCGTCGGTCCATCCTTTGCCTCATTAACCACATACAATCCGAACCAAGATAATGTGACAAAGATAAAGGACAATGATTGCAATTACTAATCATGTTGACATGGTCTTAAGTATCATCAATTGCACTCAAAAAACACTTTTAGTGTTTTTCAGACTGAGCTGCCGAGCTCTGTAGAATTTCATTTTATGTTGACTTTCCCATTTTCTCTAGTGACAAGTTGTGATTGCACTCTAGAAATAACCCTAGAATCGAGGCTAAAGAGATTGTAATCATATCCTTGATGACCTCCTCTTGCTTTTGGCCAAAAGAGGATTGACTTTCTTGATCACTAACCCATCCAAAAGGTATAATTAAATTGAATTTGGACTCATCAAAACGGATTAAGAGCTCTCTAGCTCTTATTCCCTACTTGGAAAACTATGATTGGTGGAAGAGAAAGTTTACACATTATTAAATCCCCTGTGACAAAGCACCACGTAAGGGGCAACATGTAGGTAGCTCCTTTTATCGATCGGACACAAATATGGGATATGTCCGATGCAAACATTTATTTCTTTTCCTCGTAGTTTTTGTCGCTTTTTTTTTAAAACTAGTTTGTCTTTCTTTTTCGTGTTTGGGTGGCGTGTACTAGCCATGGATGGGTCTGAAAGAGGCAGGGCTTCGAGCATATAAGGACATCTCACATATAGTCTATTGGAAGGTAGTTGGGTTGACAACATGGGACAAGTGAGACGGTACATATATCTAAAGAAGATGGAAAAACATAGAGGGGGCCAATTTGATGGATGAATAACCCATTTGACAACAGACACTTAGCCATCGTTTTCGCAGTCACGACATCTCGAGGGTAGGGTAAGAGTCTGGGATTTACGGTTTAGGGTCGATCTCTGAAGATGCTGAGTTTATTGAGAGTCTACAAAATCAGTATACTAAATGATGTGGCAGGTTATTGTTGGAAGTTGAATATGTTTCATTTATTTAAAGGCAGACCTTACGTACTGTTACATCACATAGTGCACTGATTTTGTGGATCAATCTTAGTATATTTGACATTGCTCAGAAGGAACAAAAACCGATTTATCAATATATGATCAAGCAGTAGCAGATCTAGATTTTGATGACAAGAACTCATTTAGGCTCTAGTAAATTTCCAAAAATGTTTCAGTTAAGCATTAGACTCCAGGAGCGGTAAATTATCACCCTATTAGCTTGTAACCCATCATTAGAAATAAATACAGCGATCTGTCTATCCAGATATCGAAATCAACTGACTAAGATGAATTCGGTAGATTTTGTACTTGCACACCGACCAACCTTTCCAAGTTGGCATACTTGGGTTCCACATACGTGTTAGGATTAGTTTTCTTGCTTCTTATGATTAATTAACTTCGCGTAATTAAGGGAAAAACTAAGCAGGTAAAGGACCCATTGACCTGAACTTGATGAAGGGCTTTTTTTCCAAAAAAAACTTAGTACGCAGAAGAACGTATATGAAGGTCCACATCTCTTATTGGGTTTCGGACATGAAGATGTATCTTTACCGACGATGTTTCGAATGGGGATATTGCAGTGAGCGAATTTAGGGGAGTCGATTCGAGTTCACAAGGTCCGTGTTCCGAAAGTCACATCGCAGAAGAATATTCATAGAGGTGGTCCTCTGTCTTTGTGTGCATGTGTACTGAACAAGCTCTCGGCAGGGCCGGTGCTAAGAGCTTGCGGATTAATCGGAGCTGAGCGATCGATCTGTAATTGGATGAGCATGGTCCTTTTGGATCAGCTTCATGCGAGTGTTGTCTGTACAAGGGTTTGTCTTCTTATTTGTGTACGTCCTGTACTTGATATCATGAAGTTCGCGCTCCTCCTTGGCTGGTGAACAACCAGGGGCATAATCAAGCGAAGTGTGTGCATCTAAATGGGATCAAACCTATCTTTTTCATGCAGCGATCAGGTGGTGTTCTAAGCAAACTTTCTCACACCACACACTGTTCATTAGGCTGTTTCTCTGAAAACTGTCGGTGAGTGTAATTGCTCGGCTCCATTTACCAGATTCAGTTTCTTGCTCATTTGCTGGTGATTTTTGAACAAATTCACCACACGCTAGTCTTGGTTATTACACACTATGATTAAGATGGCACATCTATTACTACCTTGAAACTCAAAAGAACCATTCCCCTTTGCATTTGATTCTTTCCCCTCGAAGCTTGATTAAATTTGTCCGCTGATACATAAAAGTAGTAATACCTATATATACATTCCCTAACAGTCATATATCGAAGTTTCTTTATATCAGAACGAACATAATAGTACGTCTTTATATTCCCGAATGTGAATATAACGTACTTTGTCTATTTAGAAAATTATTTAAGGCTATAAAGTTGCGACAATAGAAAATTTTAGTAGAAAGAAAAACATAGAATCGAAATATGTCCATGTCGAGAAAATTATCGATGCATTAACTGTTGAATCCCCTAAAAGTGCTTGTATGAAGCGACAAACAAACACAAAATTTGGAAATAAACTAGATGTTCATCCAAGCGAAATTAAAGTGCAAACAATACTTGCTCAAGCCCCAAAAGCTTCCTTGCCTTATATGTTGTCGAACCTCAGATTATTGTGTTTCGAAAGATTAATAAGCCCACCGGACCGATCAAGTTCGTCAAGCCAATCACAAAGAAAGGAAGAAACAATGTGCCAAACAATCTTAAGCATAATATACATATTATGTAATGCATTTTCCTCAATGCTTTGATAACCTTCCATAGCACTAGCGCTTACCGATAGATGAAGGAGAAAAATGAACTTATGAAGAAGAAACATGAACCTGAAGGTTAAATATAAGATCCGCTTTTAAGGAAACCCACCCCCCCCCCCCCCCTCATTGCTTGGTTAAACAACTGGAATCGATTACCTCCAATAATTATCATCGTTTAATCGAACTAATACGTGTGTCGGCACGACGAGCGGATGTTGATTGCCTCAGTCACGCTGTGATACAAATAAGTGAATTTTGAACATTAATTTCGTGATTAAGACAAGAAACCACTGTTGAGGAAAGATAATTTGAGGGGCCCAACATGATGGTAACATGTAATTGTGAATGTCATACTAGAATGATCAAAAAAAAATTCCCACATGATCAGAAACGTTAATATTCAGGTGAAGTATAATAGAAAAAACCTAGTACAAGAAGTAAAGTTCGAAGCTCAGACAAAAAAAAAAACAGAAAAATCTATTTATTATTCCTCCACAGAAAGAAAAAAATTGCAAGTTTCTTTAACCAAAGAACAAAAGGGTACTAAAAAGCACCTTTTTTCTTGGCCAAGGCAACAGCATAAACCGTCCAAAGTGGACAAATCATAAAGCAAAGCAACTTATTGGCATGAAAGATCATCTTCACACCAAGAGAGATGGATCTGAGGGACCACAACTCAAAAACAATAAAGGATCTTGATATTTTGTTCTCTAAACGCAAGACATGTCTTAATCTCCAAGAACAAAAAACCCCAAATGACCCTCTCTGCTTGCTTAAATTCTCCTCCGATATCCCCAAGACCCGATAACAAATATCTAGGGTATGTGATCACCAAGAACCCTTCGAAATTCAGCTGAAAAATCAGCCACAAAAAACACGAATCTGCTCGGGAAAGGACAAATCACAAAAATCCTGCGTGTGATGTTGCATTTAATCAAGCGCAGCTCCGAAAGAGTGTCCTACCGTGAGCTAAATGTTGTGATCCTTCCAAACCCATTAGAGAAATTATAAACGAGATAAAACGATAGCGAAGTTACCAACCACATGCATGAAAAAGGAAAAGAGATTCATAGTAGGCATCTAGCACCTAGCACCTAGCAAAAGTACGTCTCAAATACCTATTTTTTTTTTTTTGCACGTATGGGGTATTCAATCTATTACCTAAATATATAATCTAACACATATATCGTCATCTTTCATGATAAAAAAACACCTGCCAGATATACCCATATTGCAATGAAGCAATTCGATTGTTCTATCTCCATTTTAACCGGCCAAATCATGGAGCAGCTGAGCTCCCATCAAGTTCCTATAGGGCAGAGTTTGCCCTTCGCCATCAAGAAGCGAGTACTGAACCGGGTGGCAATCTTCGATGTGGTCTCGAGGGTAGAACAGCGAGTTCTGCGATACCGACGAGAATGCCAGGCTCACCCCATGGCCCGGCCCCCCGTGCTGCTGCAGTCCCAATGTCAGTGACACACCGCCACTCCCATTGAAATTCTGATGACTAGCATCGCCATCGTTGCTGTATGGGGCCGCCGAGGTTGGGTGGTGATTGTAGGACGAGAAGTCGATCTCCATACCCCCGTATGCAGCGCCGACGCGCCCAAAACCAGAGTTCTGCGGGTGCAAGTGGTGGTGGTTTTGCGGGGCTCTTGCGGCGGCCATCTTGGAATGGTGGTGCTGGTCGCTCTTGTCAGGGCTGGTGATGATGGAGGAGAGGCATTCGGAGTCGATCCGGACCAACTGATCTGAGGTTGGCTTTTGATCCTCGACACGCGTAATCTCACAGTTCTGATTATTCGGCCGGCCATCGTCTTCGAGATCTGCTGCCCCGTCCGAGGATCCCATGTTGTCGTGCTCCTTTGTTTCTTCCAAGTACATCTCCTCCACCATGGGCTTCCACAGCCTCACTCTCGCATTAATAAACCAATTGGACACCTGCATTAGTATATTAAGATAATGTGAAATTGCGTAGGAAAACAATTATCACAATAAATATTATATGCGCTAGGGTTTTTGTTCTTACGGTACACGTTAATGATGATGATGGGGTATGTTCTTTTTTTTTAATCCCCATCCCATTTGAGGACGTTAAAGTATTTCGGATGAAACTAAAGAGAAAGTAACATAGAACGATGTGGACGTGCCTGGCTTCTTGATAGGCCTGTTTGGCGAGCCAAAATATGCTTATCAACATCGCTTGGATACCTGCAAAAAACAGCCCCCCCATGAAACTCACCCACAGTTTGTTCATATAGAGATATAGAGAGAGAGAGAGAGAGAGAGAGAGAGAGAGAGAGAGAGAGAGAGAGAGAGAGAGAGAGAGAGAGAGAGAGAGATGGGTCCAATGCAATAGAATCAAGATTTTTGGAGGAACGAGAGTTTGGAGAGAAATATATATAATCCAGAAGAGAGACTAAATATGTTTGTGCGATTAAAATCACAAAAGAATATGTGGAATCTGAGAGATGGTTGGACACAAACTACCAAAAGGGAATGGCATTGTTTTAGGCAAGCTAATGATTGAGAACCCAAATTGGCTCTCCCACAAACAATCGCTAGATAGAACAGCTTCACTTTACACTATACTCTCCTACACATAAAGCTCGAAACTTTCACGCGTAGGTTAATCGACAGACAGATAGATGGGTGGGTGGATGGATAGATAGAAGTACTTACGGGTGAAGAAAGTGTTCGAAGAGCCAGGCACGGAGGACTGACACCGACCGCTCTGGCAGGCCTCTCTGGGGCCGCCAAGGGTGGTTGTCCATCATAGTCATCTGCTGGAACGCCCTCTGTTGCCTCAGGGTCTGGTCGATGATCTTCAGCCGCGGCGTCTCGCCCCTCGTTATCCCTGGGGACACGAGGTCCTTCTCCCCCATGGCCTTCTTCGTCGCCTGGATCTGGCCCACAATCCCATCCCTTAGGCACCGGAAGTGCCTCGACATGGCCTTTGAGGCCAGCGCCGAGTAGACCTTCGCCGCCCCGTTCCCTGCCACTGCCTCAAAGGACGACACCACGGCCTTCATTTGATCACAGTAGTGCCTGTATCTTCTATCCACCTATATAAAGTCCAAGATTATTATCAATCAGGTAGTTATTGGAGAAGAGGGGAGGAAATAAGAAAAGGAACTTTGAAAAGTTAGTTGCTGAAACTTGTTAGAGCAACATAAACATTTATGCATATGCCATGAAAAGGAAAAGGAAAAGGAATAGAAATTTCTGAAGTAATTAAAAAAGGTGGTGAACCCCCCCAGAAGAATTGGCCGGATGTGGGCATTAATTGGAAGGCCCCTCTCAGTTGCTTAATTAGCTCAAGAATCAATCATACACACCCATCACTTAAAAAAAGTTTCAAACTTTTCTGTGTCTCAACCTGATGAATCATGCATATCATGTGTTGTTTCATCCTTGCTTGTATAAGAGAGCAACTGATGAAAAAAAAAGATGACCATAGAAAACGCAAATAAACCTCGTCGAGCATTGAAAGCAGCTTTGTCTTCCTCTTCTGCAACTCCATGAACTCAAGTGACCCAAGAGACTGCTGCTTCAAAGACCCACTTGGTCCGCTGTTATCGCCATCTTGATCATCCCAAGCTTTGCTTTTGTTGGACTGTTGATGCTTTGTCAAGTCACTTTGCTTAGCCCCGAGGCTGCAAAACTCGTTCAGAAGCTCCTGAGCAGGACCCAAATACTTTGAATTCCTCAGCTGAAACTGCCCGGCTTGTTGATGCATCATCATCATCGCTTGCTGTGGCTGAATATGACTCCCCAGATTGGACTTCCCGAAGAACCCTTCTCTCGAAGTCGAAGCAGCAAACAATCTCATGTCGCCTGGATGCTGATGATGATCACTGTGATGGCCACCACCACTAGTGTTGGCGTGCCTCAGTTCGAAGGATTGGAGTCCGATGCTTGAAGGGTTGGCCGAGGAGAGTGAGAGGGAGAGGCCTTGGCTCGGCCTCTCGTTCCCTTCGCACGGAAAGACGCACCTTATGGAGGAATCGTCGACCACAAGCTTGTTGCTCTCTTGCCAAGCGGACGCTGAATCGTCTTGCGAAGTCGTTGCTGCCGCCGCCATCAGATTCTGATCGGCCTGCGAGAAACCGTGTTTGTTGAATTCGTGCCGGTAGAATTCGCTCGCCGCCGAGTCATCAAGCGCCGCCGCTGCCACCGTTTTCGACGATGAAGGTCCACTTTGGCTATTGTTGTTGGGGCTCACAGTTTTGGCGAAGAAGTTATTGCCTTTCCACAAGAGTGCGTTCGCTGCCGCGACGTGGTTCTGGGTAGGGTGGTTCGGCAGACTGTCCTTGGGGAAGCCGATCATGTCCATGCCGGAGGCCAAGTTGAAGATCTCCGAGCCGGAGTCGTAACTCGGGATTTGACTCACCAGATGGGGCTGAGTCTGGATCGACGGGTTGTGGGAAGAAGACAAGTCCGAGTAGCAAAACCCACCGGTGCTTGAGGATGAGACCACCATGTTGCTTGATTTCTCTTCACTGCACATGAGCTTATAGAAATGGCCGAAAGTTGTTGTTTTCTCTCTTTCTCTTTCTTTCTTTTATCTGCTTCTTTTTCTGGGGCTAGTGTATCAGCAAGAGTTGCCTTCTGTTTCTGGAGTTTCTGATAGCAAAAGGTTTGTCCTTTCTGCTGCAACTTTTGATCTCTTCAGAAAGGTGGGGGAACATGGGAAGAGCAAGAAACTCCCCCAACAACACTAAGAGAGAGAGAGCGAGAGAGAGAGGGGCAGATCTTTCAAAGAGGTGAAAGACCAAGAAAGAAAGCAAAAATCAAGTCTTTTGGCGATTTGATCAGGTGGGTGTGTGGGAGCTTCTTTGATTCCAGCAGCTCATACCCTTTTGAAAGACACAGAGAGAAAAGAGAGAGGGAAGTGAGAGTCTTACCAGCTAAACAAGAAGTGGGAATTATTGGGTTTGAGATGATGATGATGATGGTGATGATGGTCTCGGGAGAGAGAGAAAAGAAGTGGGAGCTGAGCTGCTGCTTTGCCGTACCGTCAGTGAGCAAACATGGTATGGTGTTGGTACGCCATGAAAACTCAACCTAGGAAGAGAGAGAGAGAGAGAGAGAGAGAATTTATCAGATGCTGCAGCTCTCACAGATATAGAGAGAGGGATCAGAAAGATGATGGAGGTCGATGATGTCCTCCTTCCTAGGCACGATCATCACACAAACACACACACACACACTCTCTCTCCCTCCCTCTCTCCATCTCTCTCTCTTTGAGTGGGTCAATGCACCACGACATAAATACATCCAAAATAGACTTCCGAGAAAACCCGAAATGATCTTTAATTATGCCCTCAATTATTTCCACGCCCCCAACAACATAGGAAAAATAACCCGGGGGCGCTCCTTAAACAAAAGCCAAAACCCTAGTTAATCCTCTGCGTTAGGACGTATTGGCACAGGGGGATCAGCAGCCTCGGCCTATGATTGGGAGAAACCGCATCCGTGTCTTTTCTGCGCTGATGAACAGAAACCCACAAGCCGCCACATGACAAACACACACACACGCATATATTTCGAGACCCTTTTCGTTTACGCCCCCCATGAAATGCGCAATTGCCTTTTTTTTTTTTTTCTTTCTCTAATTCGTGGGAACGAGACCCTTTTGCGACAAAAAGCCTATCGATGGTGAAGAAAAGTCGTCTCTCCCGGTCGCCCGAAGCACGGAAGGATACAAAAGAAAGGCACATGAAATGATAACACTCATGCAATGGAAGAGAGAGAGAGAGAGAGAGAAATTGGGCGGGGGGAAAAAAAGGGGAAGAATTAGGGGGACAAATCTTTTGCAGGTCACAAATCCCAAGGACGGAGAGAGAGTACACACCCCCCCCCTAAAGTAGTAGTTGTGGCAGGCTCTCTTCAGATGGCTTTCAGTGGTGAGACTTCTTCTTGGGATCTTGGGATCTTGGTTCTTGGTGGGGGCAATTCCCTGTCATGTGTGTACCATTTCTCTCCCCCTCTCTCTCCCTCCACACAAAAAGAAAGAAACTTTCACCAAAGAACTCAATCTCTCTAGAGAGAGAGAGAGAGAGAGAAATTGGGTTTTCTTTTCCCTCCTAATATTTTTTTTGGATTTTTTTTAGAGAGAGGGGGGAGTGCCAAAGAATGAGATGCGATTGGAGGGTGTGCTTCACAATGTTCCCAAAATAAGGGACTGTGCATGGGAGAAGAGATGAGGTGGTCCAATGCTTTCCCCTTCTCCCATCTAATTCCCCTTATTAATTCCCCCTTATTAAAGTTACACCCCCATCTCTCTCTCTCTCTCTCTCTCTCTCTCTCTCTCTCTCTCTCTCTCTCTCTCTCTCTCTCATCTCTATAGACACGCCCCACCCCCCCCCCCCCCCTCCCCATCAAACAAACAAAAAGATGGGACCGCATCTCCTTTTGATTTATTTTGGTGGGCACAATGCCTAAACTCACACGCGCACCGCGCGTCTTGGTGGAGCTTGTGCATCGCCATGATTTTTCCATAAAATGAGTTTTAACCAAGAAGCTCCCCCAATGGTACATGATCCTCCTCCTCCTCCTCCTCCTCCTCTTTCCTCATCGTTGTCCTAAAAAGACAAAGCTTCGTCGGCATGCTTCATGCGTGCGAGCTTCGCGTCCCTGGACTTCCCCCCTAGAACCTCATTCATTCGGCCTCGCTCTCTTTCTCGAGTTGCTCGGGGCATAATGTTGAAGTTGAATAGTTCGATCGATTCTCCATGTAATCTTGGTTCCGCGAAATAATGCGCGAAAGTAGCGTGTTACTTACCCCCCTTCTTTTTTTCCCCGGCCAAAGTTGCCATTTGGAATTTTTATCGGCATATGCAAGGGCTTTTTTTGGGGGCGCGTTGCATGCACGCGCCGACCCGAGCGAGTGAGGCTGTTGAGGGGAGGAAAAAAAAAACATATATTAGTGAGCTTTAATTTTTGTCCATTTTGCAAAGGAAGGAAGGAGAGGTGGTCCAAATGCTTTTTTTTGGTGTTTTTCTCCCCCCTCTCTCTTTTGCTTCCCTTGCCTCTCCTATCTGTATATGTATATGCATATGTATATGTATATGTATATATGCAACCCATGACGTCACCATTCCTTGGCCTTTCTCGGCTTGTACTTTCTTTATGGGGGTGCACACTGCGCACCCGCGCGCATTATACTAATTTGTAATTAAAAAAAACAAAAAAACAAACCCCGTAATAATAAAGTCGATTCGGGTCGGGTTCGAGGCGACTCGGCATGGCGAGCGAGGTCAAGCCCGCGCGTTCGATTGTCTTGATGTGCTCGTTCTTCTAGAAGATCGGAGATTTCTATGAAGCGAAAGCGAAAAGGGAATTTCATGTGTAAACTGTCCCGACGAAAATTCCCCGATCTGAAGCCTCCCGGTCTTTCGCATGGATCCCCGCGATTGACTGAGCGGCGAGGGTGCAAAGGAATGGGGTTTCTTGTGGAGATCAAACTTGAGTTCGAGCGCAATGTATGAATCGAGCATGAACCACGAGAAAACAAGCAGCGGACGGATACCCGCGAACCGTCTCGAACTTCAAGTTGTTCGAGCCCGACGAGAATCCCATCGGGTAATTCGAAACGCGCGCGAACGACGACACCATTCGGTACGTTTCAATCGATCGAATTTCGCACGATCAGGGTAACAGGGGAATCCCCCACCTCCAGCATAACCCCCAAGCACACTCGAGGCAAAAAAAAAAAAGGAGAACCCCGTGACGTCCGCCCCACATATATCACTCGCACCTCAGCACGAAAAGGAAGAACCCAATGATACGACGGAGGGCGATGAGGTCAGTTGTCAGGAGGAGCACCACCCCATAAAAGGCGGGGTGCGGTCAGGCCTGGGATCGCATCAGCAACATCAGCAACAGTGCACATTTCGGGTCGTGCTGCTCCGGTCAGGGCTCGCATCATGAAACGTTAGGGGCTGGTGGGGAGCTGCTGCTGTAGGGGAAGGTTTGGGGGGTTGGGTCGCGGTGGTCCTCCGGAGCTGCTTGTTTTGCTCTCTGCCATCGTGGACCATCCTGCGTTCGCCTACTGCCCAGCAACTCCCGTTCCTAGCTGTGGTTCTGTTTCTGCCTACTACTGCCCGACCCTCCCAGGCTACTATGTGCGGTTGCAGCTTTTGCGAGGGGGGACTTGGTAGGAATCCGGGACGGGCGCAGCGGGGATTCGATACGTTCAGGTTTGGACGCCAGCCATTTCACATGGGGGTTTGCAGACCCGTTCGAGCCAATCTTATAGGCCATTGAACCGAAACTAGCATTTCCAAAGTCACTTGACTCGATGCGGTGTCTTGCCTGGCTTTGGCTTTGAGCATTTTTTCCCGGATGCTGATGAATTTTTTCTTTTCTTCTTTCGACTTTGCTCTCGCTAAACTTTCGAGTATAGTTAGCTCGCGTGACGGCGGCGAGGTCGGGTGTGACCGCCGCGCGACCCAGATGCTAGATACTATTTGTATTTCGGAAAAAAAAAACCCTTATAACCTAAATTCATTTGCATTTTACCAAAGGCTTTCCCCAAATGTTTCTCCTCAACACAATGGTTTGGAGAAAAATGAGACTGAATCGAAATGTGAAAGATGCAATTCGATTCGATTAATGTCGATTGCTATATAAAATATTTAGTCTGATTCGATTTGACGTGGTTCGTCTCAACTATTTGGACTGTATTTTTCTCATTTCCACTTATCAATGTTTGTGTTTAGCGAAAAATGAATATTGGGCAACCGCTGATAGCGATAATTTGAATTCACCCAAGCCAATCTCTGCTTGGAAATTGTTATTATTTTTCGTAGTGATTTTCTCTTATTTGTACTGTTTGAATTGCATTAATGATGATAGTACCTCGGAATTGATTTCAGATTGCAAGCGATTTCACGACATGATATGCGAGCACGACATATGTATAACATGTGATTAAGAATATATGTCAGGCAATTAGTCCGCTTATACAATAGCACATGACATGCATAAGTTAATCCTCCTAAACCATTTAATCACATGTCTAGACATGCTTAACTAATGTTTGCGTGTGAATACTTCTATAAATTCACTTATCTTATCACGTGCTCATTATCAGGTCGAGTTCAATACATCCTCGCAAACAATTATTGACATGAATAGAATTATGTCAAAAAGAGCGAACCATGGGTGTCGGTTCACGTGTCGGGTCTATGTAATCAATGGTCGTTATGGATCCAATTCATGTGAAGTCGAGTTCAGACGAGAGAATTTGCCCATTTTTAAGCGTGCAAGAGTGGCTTAATTATTGGCTGGGCCATGGAGATTGGTGCGCCATTATGTGGGTGCATGGTAGGGGCCAATCCCTGAAGTGAAAAAGGGAGGGGGGTGGGGGGGGGAAGGTTTTGGAACTCTCTGCGCAGGACTCTTCTGCGTGCGTCTGTGTCTGCAAGGTGTACTTTCCTCTGATCTTTTGGGGAATTATGTTCTGCCCTAGATACCTTCGGTCCTTCCATTTCTTGTATTTTTATATAATCATATTCTTGTTTTTCTCATATATTTTTTTCTTTTGCTTTTCTTTTCTGCTTTTCCTTACGGGGAAGAACACAGAACATCTCATTGATTCTTGGAGTTTCAATTGGACTTGAGCTTGAGTTTCCATTGAGCACAGAAGCTTTTCTAATTTCAGCTTTCCTATTTTAGAAGCAAGTTTTCAAGGTCAACTTACTTACTTTTTTTTTTTTTGGTGATCCGGGAACCGCCGTAGGGTCAACTTACTTTTTTTTCTTTTTTTTTTTGTAGCCGAGGATCCGCCACTATTCCCCGGGAACGAGCCCGCACAGGTAATCGGGGCGCCTATACCTCGGGGGAGACTAGCCCAGCAACCCACCGCCAGGGCCCCCCACTTAAATTACGAAACCGAGCGAGGATTCGAACCCAGAACCTCTAAGGAGGGAAGGAAATCGCCCACCAACTCGGCCATGCGCAGGTGGGTGGGTCAACTTACTTTTTATTAGGGCTAATTCCAACAAAAAATACCGACTTTACTTTAAGTGATAATTTCGGTCCGAACTTTTTTTTGTCTCAATAAAAAGCACATATTTTTACTCTAGTTCCAAATTTGGCCTCTGTAATGTGAAATTTTCAAATTGTCCGGCCAAATTTGAGATTTAAGTGAAATTTGATGATTTTTTATGAAACAAAAAAAAAAGTTCCAAATTTTTTAAAAAGCTTGAGTTTACATTGAGCACAGAAGCTTTTCTAATTTCAGCTTTCCTATTTTAAAAGCAAGTTTTCAAGGTCAACTTACTTTTTATCTAGGCCAATTCCGAAAAAAAGCACCGACTTTACCTTAAGCGACAATTTCGGCCCTCAACTTTTTTTTTGTCTCAATAAAAAGCACCTACTTTTACTCTAGTTCCAAATTTGACCTCTGTGATGTGAAAGTTTCAATTTGTCCGGCCAAATTTGAGATTTAAGTAAAATTTGATGATTTTTTACGAAACAAAGAAAAAATTCGGACCAGAATTATTATTCAAAATAAAGTTGATGCTTTTTTTTT